TAAATACGAGTACAAAGCAATTTGTATTACAAATGCATCTGTTGCAGCGATATTTAACATTATAAACGTTAAATATCTAGCGCTATAATTTGCAATATATGTAATTTATAGCGCCTTTCTAATTTACTTTTCAATTTTTATTACGCAATTTCCAGTGCTATCAATATTTTACAAAATAAAAGTATTTTTTCGATAAAAACTCAAAGCATTTCTATATTAAAGGAGCGAGAGAGAAAACACTAAAGCGTGCGAGAGAGACAGCTACTGTTTGACGATGAGATCATCATGCTCTCCCCTTCCTTCGTCGACCCTCGCCAACAAGCTGTTTCTAGCTCCCCCCTTACTTCATCGTCCCTCGCCGACAACCGGTTTGCCTGAGGTAACCTTCTCTCTATAGATCTTGTCTTTGGCCAGCACCCGAGCACCGCGGTAGGGAAAACACGCACACAAACGAGAATCGTTACGTCACACGTACGTGTGCGCCCCGCCGTTCAGTTTGTAGAAGCGAGTGGACATACGTGTTCCGTCTCCTTTTTATCAAAGCGACATTGCGCGCTTGTTGCGCAGTATTATGACAACGTGAAATGCTTTTTCGAGATTTATGTGATCTTGTAAAAAAGTAAATAATATTGATATTAATAAAATATCAGAACATTAAATATTTATGAATTATTAATATGCGTTAATTGCGATAGTTAATACTTTTGAGTTTAATATTATGTTATACAGGGTGTCTCATACCGCTTATAATACTTTAATAGTATCTTTTGGAGATAAAATAGAGTAAAAAATCTTAATACAAAAATATCAAGGCTACAATAGTTTTTAAGTTATAAACAATCAAAGATGCTAATGATGTCGCGTAGAACTGGCACGCTCAGGTTCGCAATTATACGTACACGCGTACCGATCTATCAACTGCTATTGATTTTTACAAGTCAGGTGATATTGATTTTTACTGCACAGCTGATTTTTCACGGACGTGAAATGCATGTGGATTTTCGTTACTTCAAATGTGAGATTTGTAACTGTTAACTACTCCTTCACGAGTAAAACGTGACTCGTCTGTAAATAAAATTTTATGGACAAAACCAGAATCTTTATTTTCATTTTCCAATAATCATGTTGAAAATGATGGGAGATTATACATGAACATTACGATATACTTATTGTATTTTCTGTATCAGATTAAAACGCTTACAATAAATACAATGTAACGCATCTTTATCAAAAACATTTTCATCTAGAAGAATCTAATTTTATACATTGTTATTAGAGAATTAAAATAGAGATTCTGGTTTGGTCATTAAAATTTTATTTACGGACGAGTCATGTTTTACTCGTGAAGGAGTATTTAACAGTTACAACTCCCATATTTCGAGTGACAAAAATCCACATGCATTTTGCGTCCGTGGAAAATCAGCTGTGCAGTAAAAATCAATATCATCTGACTTGTAAAAATCAATAACAGTTGACAGATCGGTACGCGTGTAGTTACGGGCCTAAACGCGCCGGTTCTACACGATATCATTGGCAATCTTTGATCGATTACAAGCCTAATTTAAGTCTGAAATAGTTTTATTATTAATTATTGAGTGGTCTTCCACGCCACCCATGAGGTGCCACTTATAGCGCGTTAGGTTTTTCAACGTGGACCTTCGCCTATTATACCACATTTCAATATTTTTATGTTTGCAAAAGGGAGATATACAGGGTGATTCAAAATAACCTGATATCCTTGCAATGCCATATTCTTGAGCGAATTCTGAGACGATTTTTCCTTTTACAAAATTTTGTCCAAAGTTTAGTTTTCGAGTTATAATTGAAAATAGTTTGCTACTTATGAGTTCGATACAACGGACAGACAGGGATGGTGTAATGTGTCATGAGACGATAGTAAACACTTGACAGTCTCATTATACGTTGCGCGTCCCTGCCTGCCCGTTGTACCGAACTCGTCGTAAGTTGCTATCTATTTTCAATTATAACTCGAAAACTAAGCTTCGGACAAAATTTTGTAAAAGGAAAAATCGTCTCAGAATTCGCTCAAGAATATGGCATTGCAAAGACATCAGGTTATTTTGAATCACCCTGTATATAATTTAATTATTTTATAAATATTAATTATAATAAAAAGAATAAGAGAGAAAGGGGAAAAGGTTATATATATTCTTTAAATAAAACACTGTACATAAATAAAATAAAATAATTTTATTTATGGCAGAAATCTCAAAAAATACCAATTTGGTTAGTCAAAAAGTTTATTAAAAAAGTCAAAACTGAATTTAAAAAAAAATTTTAAATCAGAAGTTTAAAATATTAATGACGCATACTCTGGGTATAATATAGCTAACTTTAAGTATAGTTTATACAAAAATAGATAAATTTTTTATTATTGTCAAAGAGTATTAAAAACCAGATGTATGTAGAGCGACATTGCCGATTATTCTAATGATTAATATAAAATTTCTCTTAATCTGCTTATTTTTCGTATTTTTTAATGGAGATTTTGCAACGTATTAATTATGTTTAATTGGTAATCCTTAACATCTTTTCTCAAAAAATGGAGAAAACAAGAAACAATGTTTTTTTATTAACACTTAATTGATATATTTACATATATATATTTACAAATATATTTCGAAATTGTGTGTGTTTGTGTAAGTTTTGAGATACATTCTTCGTGTTTTATTATGGAAATTGGGTTAACGGTTTAATGATTTTGGACTTTTATCTTATCACAGTCTTATGTGATAAGATTTATATTGTTATTTTCAATGATTACGATGAGATAAAGTATATTATCCGAATACTTTTTATCAGTTCTTACTGCGATATATTGCAATACGGTACTTAATACTTTATTTTTATCCTGGGTAATATTAATGATCTATACTAAAATTCTTGTAATTTGACACAATTGTACACTGTAAATGGTTATCAATTATAAAAATATAAAATCAAAATAAAGGTGATTATACAATGAAGTAAATTATCTTTGTAATTTAAAAATAACATTTTTAATAACAATTATTTATTTATTTATTGTTTAAAAAATACAATTGTGTCTTTAATAAAAGTTTATAACGTGTAATTTAAAAAAAAGCTACGTAAAATTAATACATTGATTAAGTGTGATATGTTCGATTAATGTGTTAATCAATAAACAATCTTTAGTTTTTGACGTTCAGATTATTTTAATATATGTCGCAGAAGTTAACAATTTTTAATGACTAGATTGTGTAATTATTTGTGAAATTTTAAATTGAGGTAAACACACATATTGATTCCAAGGAAGAGCAAAAGGTAAGTAGAATTCTGTATATCAACAATTTAGAAAAATAATAATTTTTTTACAATTAAAGCATCTATCGATACCGAACGGATAAAAAAGTGTTAATGTCTTATTAAATTCAGGCTTTTTTAATTACTATATAATTGTGAAGTTGATAAAAACAAAGCAACAATTGTCACATTTATCGGATTCGAATCTGAAAAATATTACTCTATTGTATTTTTTAGGAAAGAGATAGAAGTACAGATAGAAGTGTGAAAAATGATGCGGTTCGTTTCTACTAGCAGAAAAACGACAAAATTTAGAAATGTTTCAAAAAAACAAAACACACGTCGTTGCAGGTATAATCATTGAAAATTTTACATTTTATTCTATTTTGTTTATACATTATTCAATTTATGTATTATATTTTGTGTGGATAAAAACAGTAATCCAGAAAAATTTATTTTATGAGAAAAAAGAATATGATTTTGACATGATCATGATCAATTTTTATCAAATCTAAATCTATAATAAATAAAATAAATAAAAAGGAAAAATTCATACTACAATAATTTTCAATCAATAAATAAGATTTAAAATTTTAGTTATGAATGATTAATCTCACGTGCGAATGCAACTTGAGCAATTATTGCATAAGAACATAAAGAATAACATAAAGAAATTAATTGTTCAAATATGTATCAATTGTTGCATTTCTTAATTATATTATATTTTGAAAGGAAAAAAAATCAATTTTATGAATTATGAATCTGTTCGATCTAAAAACTATTTTTCTAAACTTTGCTGCAACTGCGCATTATGATCATAAGATACTGCTTGTAGCACAGGCTTGGTTGTAAATAAACAATTTATAATATATGTTCAACAATCTTACAAATAATTAGATATATTTAAAAACAAAGTTCGAAAAATATATCAATTATACAAGATGGTCTACGTAACTGGACCGGATCCTAGCACTTGTTGTGTTGAGCATAGAAAAGAATGATACAGGTAAAAATTGAATGGCATAACAAAACATATTTTTCTATCAATTCGTTTTCTTTGTAAGTGCAATTGCACTTTTTCAAATAAAAATATATGTGTGTATATATTCAGAATATTCAGAAAAATCTATTTATACAAAATATATATATATACACTGCTCAAAAAAATTATGGAATAGAAAAATTTTGCTCAAAAATTGGTCAACTTTGTCAAACAATAACTCTTCGAAAAATCATCGTAGGATCCTGATTTTTTTTAATGAAAGCTTAGAATTTCTACTTTAAGAGGATGCTGAAGTCATATTGTTACCGACCGAACTTCTAATTTTCTGGAAAGTATGGCATTTTTTATTGCTTTGATAGAATTACAAATCCTTTGGTGTAAGTAAAGTACACATGCTAATCTTTCGGTGGTTAGTAAAATTTAAACCAAAAAATAAAAAAAATTTTTGAAAATTTACCGACAATGTCACCTCAAAGAATTATATCTTTTATATCAAAATTATACTGCTTTAATCTGCAAAACAAGAGTATGTGCCGAAGAAGAGCGTATGAAACAATAATGGAAAACCAAAAAAATAGAGCTTAGAGACTTATTTTCAAAATGCCATATTTTTCCAAATTTATGCAAAGCATGCGTGCAATATAGAAGAATAAGGTAAAAAAGAGCTATAGATTAGTTCCCGAATTTTGGGATAGAGGCGCTATACAGTTCTCAGTGCTATCTGTCATATACAGAATCTTTTAGGTTAGTTATGTGTGTTAGTTGTGCGTGTGTGTGTGTGTTTGTGTTATGTGCTACAAAACCCGGCTAAAAAAAATGGGTTGAAGGCACTCTGAAGGATAAAAAAGTGTATGTATTATACATAAATTTTGCAACATTTTTGCAAACATTTATATTATTTAGTTACATACATTCATATTCTAATTTCTGTAAAATACTTTTATTCATGTGCTTCATGTGTATATATTATGTATATTATGTGCTCCATATTATGTACATTCACATCAAAGTATCTATGTAAAAAGTTAATATCATTTTGTATATTGTATATATTTTTATAATAAATGTATATGTCATATAACTTATTTATAAAGCATGAAATATAAAGGTATTTTTAGTTTCTTGTATCATTTGTAAAAAAATCTTGATAAAAAAAACACTAATTTTGTGACTTGCAATAATCTGTTTCAATATATACTTCTTTTAAATACTTACAATTAGCCTTATTTTATGCGTTTACCTTGGTATCTAAAATACACATCAAAATATAAAATTAATTTCTAGTTCAGTAGAAAAAAAACATTGTAGTCTTACAACAGAGAGGAATGGTAAAATATCATGTATATGTAATAACAAATAAATCACTTTTCCACTGACATTATACACAACTTTGCAGAAATAAATTTATTCTGTGAATTTTGAATGTGTAGTGCAGTTTAAAACACACAGTCGAAATATGTCTATATTTTTAAAATAATAGTTCTGATTTTTCATGAATCACAGTGGTTTTATAAAATGTTCAATTTTAACAGTTTTTATTGGACTGTACTTTAGACAATATTATATTTTGACATTTCTCTCTGTTGTAAGACAAGAATGTTTCTTTTCTACTGTAATAGAAATACATTTTCGATTTTGATACGTATTTTAAATACCAAGTTAATCACATAAAATAAAGCTAATTGTAAGTATTTAAAAGAAGCATATAATGAAACAGATTATTGCAAGTCGCAAAATTAATGTTGTTTCTTTTATCAAGATTTTTTTACAAATGATAGTCACAAAAAATTAAAAATATCTTTATATTTCATGCTTTAGAAATAAAAAATATGGCATATATCATATACATTTATTGTAAAAACAATATACAAAATGATATTAATTTTTTACATAGATATTTTGATATGAATATAGATAATATGGAGCACATAATATACATTATATATATATACATATATATACATAAAGCACATGACGTAATAAAAGTATCTTACAATAAAAAATAAGACAAGCCAGAGGCGATCCAACGTATCCTAGTGATGTAGAATTAAAAAAGCCAGAGGCGGTCTAACGTATCCTGGCAATGTAGAAATAGAAAAGTCAAAAGCGATCTAACGTGTGCTGGCGATGTAGAAATAGAAAAACCAGAGACGATTTATCGTGAGCTGATAATTTTTCATAAATATTGTCAGAGGCGATCTATCGTAAGCTGATAATTTTTAATAAATATAGTCGAAGGTAATTTAACGTTAACTGACAATTTAAAAAAAAGAGAGCCAAAGACGATTTATTCGTGAGCTGGCAAATTGTAAGAAATATTGTCAGAGGCATTCTATCGTGAGCTTGCAGATTTTAAGAAATACGTATTTCTTTTAGTTAGTAATTTACTACACGTGTGGTCTGTTTATGTTTTATCGGATAATTTATAAAGTCAATGCGAGTAACTAACAAGTAAAGCTACCCAACTGTCACTCACCAATCGGAATAAAACTTTGCACACTTATAAAGCATGAAAAAATAGTGAACACGTATGTTTTCATTTTTCTTAAAAACACTTTTTACCCTCTCTACCGTATATAGGCAATATACAAATCACCACATGCATCATGACCGGTATACGGACATCTCAAATAAAAAAACCTAACTTAATTCAATATGACTATCAGTGAGTATACCAAGGTTTTGGTCGTTGAATCCGAATCTGTGGTCAAAATAAAAAAGTTATGACAAATCCCGATAACTTTTCCAAAATTTAGAATGAAGGAACTAATATGTCTGACCAACTCGATATTCTAATTTTGAAATTTTAATATCATAATTGGATTCAGCGACCCCAAAAACCCCCGAGTAACAAGTTTCAGGCAAATCCGATCAATTTTTAAAAAATTGCCCGCCATCTTGGATCCGCCATTTTGAACTTTTTTATTTTGACCACAGATTCGGATTCAACGACCCCAAAACCAAAAACCTTGGTATACTCACTGATAATCATATTGAATTAAGTTAGGTTTTTTTATTTGAGATGTCCGTATACCGGTCATAATGCAAGTAGTACGATTTGTATATTGCCCATATACGGTAGAAGGGGTAAAAAGTGTTTTTAGGAAAAATGAAAACATACGTGTTCACTATTTTTTAATGCTTTATAAGTGTGCAAAGTTTTATTTCGATTGGTGAGTGACAGTTGGGTAGCTTTACTTGTAAGACGCGCGATACTCAACCTCAGGAACATATCACAAATGCAATGAGATCATAAATATAAGACAATAGATTTCCACATCACCTAGATACTATTATTGACGCGTCCTTCTTAAATGGTTTCCCCAGTAGGTCTATTCCACTATCGAAGAATGACTAATAAGAACAATTTATGATTTCTCTAGAAAGAAAATTTCTATTGAACACGCTTAGAAAAAAAAAATAATAAGGAAAAATTGCAGAAACATTAATTTGATTTTTTCGGCCGTTTACATTTGTTAGAAATTAAATCATTTTAATATCAGAAATTAATAAATATTATATGTATGTATGTATGTATGTATGTATGTATGTATACATGTATATACATGTACATATGTATTTACGTATGTGCGTATGTATGTATTTGTATATAATAATGCAATTGTTTTGACTTTTCGATTGTTTCTCAACGGTTTCTCCGTGAAACGTGCATAGTAAAGTCTCGTTATTCTTATTTAGAGTGAGTTTTATTGTGCATATTTATAAAGAATTTTGTGTCATTGTGCATACTTGAAGTTTTCTGTGTGTGTTTTCTGTGTGAGTTTTCTGTATGTGTTTTCTGTGTATACTTTTCTTCTTCATCTCTAGTTTTAGCGGGAAGCATGGCCAGTACCAGTAAACAAAGGTATGAGCAACATTATGATAAGATATGGGAGGATAGTTTCTTCGCATTTATTTGTAATAGAACGGTTTGTTTATTATGCGGTTATCAGCCTTCTCTCAGCCTTAAAAAATTTGTAGTTGAAAAACATTATAAAAGTAAACATTTAGAAGAGTATTCTAAATATGTGAGTCAAGAAAAATCGGATTTAATTGAGGGATTAAAATTAGTTTATAAAGAAGGTTGTGATTTAATTTCTAAATTGAAAATAATACATGCCAGATAGCAATGCCTGATGATCAGATCTCATCACGTCATGATCTTCAGATATTTATCGCAAAATTATGTATATCTTGTGATCATATTATGATGATACATATCATGAGCACAAGTTAACGTGCACATGAGGAAAAATGTGAGCTCACATATTGATGTTAAATTGTCAACTCATGATAATCACAAACTGATTGCAATAATTAATTATTATGTGTTATAAATTTTGTACGT